ACTTGCGCCCGACACTGGAAGAGCTTGCTCGGATTCTTCAGGACGGTCAGGGCCTGATTCCGCTTGCCCAAGGCCGCAGCCCCAACCGTCCCATGTGACCCTTCAAAGCCCAAAAACCAATTGCACTCTGAACACTTGCCTGAAACAGGCTCTCTGCGCGCTCGGTGAACTGGAAGGAGGTGTTGGGCAAGGTGCCGGGCGCAGTTGACGGCTCCACAATCCCAGAGCTGACAAGCTTGTTCAGAGCCTCCATGTCACATTGGGAGAGGCCAGAGGCATCAAACCTTTTCCCACTCTCGTGAAAGCACCCCGTCTCCAACATGTCGTGCGTGAGCTGCTGAGCGGCAGGGTCGCTTAAAGTAACTCCTGAGCAAAGATGACTGTTAAGAGACTGCTAATCAAAAGGCGGGGCAAGCAAATCACCGGCAAACAAAACAAAAGACCATCACGTTGCTCAGAGCGTCTCAGCTGAACAGGCGAGCTGGCACACACGTCCCACCGTAGCAAGTCAGTGGCAAGGTTGGCACCGGCCGCGAGATCGTCTTTCCCGCTGTGCCAGTAGGTGAGAAGCTGCGAGCAGAAAACGGCAGCGCAATCGTGCTGCTCCACCACCGCCTCATGCTCCTGAATGCCCACCAATCGGTACAAGCGAATCGCAAGGTCGTCTGGCATCACAGAGTCTGCGTACCGCGTAGGTCTCTTCAACCGATTGGGCGCTGAGTGGCAAACCCGGAAGAAAACCAGCTTCATGCCCTTCCATGTGAGATCGGACTCGGCCTCAATCGGGGTAAGACGCAGGACCTGCCGCTTTGACCTCGCTGACTGAGAATCAGAAGGTGCATCTGGAAGCGTCAACGCCGAGGCTTTGGCAATGAACGTGTCCTCATCTGCTTGGATGGCCAAAGGCAAGGATGTCGCAGCGGGCAAATCGGCTGGCGCATCCTTGCGCTGGTCCATCAACATCTGGCTTTCCTGAGCCTGGCCAAAAGCCACGCGATCCTTCAAGGGGAGCAACGCTGAAAATTCAGAGTCAGGGCCGGGCTGGACGCCTGATGTGATGGCACTCTGTAGGTCTTGCGCCGGGACTTTGCTGAGCACCGACTCTGGCAAGCTGTAGAAGCACACTGGATCACAAATCTCGCGGAAATGCTTCAGCATCAGATTCTGGATCGCTCCATGTTTGGACTGCATCTCTTTGCAAATGCGGCCTTTGATGGCTCGCTGCTGCTGAGGGCCACTTGTCGGAATCAGGGGCCCTGCAACATGACCCCGTGCAAATTGGAAGGCCTTGTGATAGAAGAGGTCCACGAGCTGTTTCTCACTCAGCCCGTTTGCAGGTTTGCAGGAGGGGCCGCACAAAAGCTGCGCCACGGTGGAGGACAATGATTGGGTAGCCCCCAAATGGGCATGTTGGCGCGCGAATTCGGTCAGTGCCTTGCATACTGAAGCCAGAGTTTGCTAGAAAGGGCACCACGCTGATTATGGTCATTGCGCAAGCAAACCCTACCAACATCTGACAATGCTCATGTATTGTTTCTCACGTCGTGCCTGGGGGTCATCCAAAAGATCTTTGTGCGAAGGCAGTCGCAGCTCAGTAGACACAAAGGCCAAACTCGCAGATGGCGAGTCGTCCAACACATCCCGAACTTTTTTGTGAAGGCCCTGCAACAAGGGGCATGGCATAAGTCAGCTCAAACAGTACGAGAGGAAAAGAGTACCCTGACTAAGTTGCAAGAAGCCTCATGGCCTCGTGTCCTATGCTGTTGACAAAACAAAACACACTCATAAAGACATCCCGTGTCAACACAGGCCTCCGTTTGACGCTCCACGCATCTGAGAAGCCGCAAGGCCCCAATCCAAGCGCAAAGGCTGGGATGATCGCTCCGGCTCTCTCCAGCAATGAACTTGTCAAGGCTTTGCCGAAGAGGACCATCCTAGGCGGTGCATTGCCCCAAATCGAATCTGGTGTTGGTCTTAAGTGTTGCTAGGCGCAAACGATGTCAACAAATTACAACTATATAGAAGCAAAATGCAACCGTGCTTCAAAGCGGAGCTCCCCTGCGGGCGGTCTGGGCGCTTCGCAGAACTTCTCGTCCAGGAAGCGCCTCGTCAGAACATGGCCAGCACCAACACCCGAGGCCTCGCAAGCCGTGCCACTTCCGATCTGGGACTTGGCCCAAAGATGAACACAGGCACTCGCCGCCAAACGAGCCTTCTGCTCGGAGTCAGAGGCCAGGGCGCACAACTTCCACGGGAGACAGTGCCAATGAGAAGTCTTCAAAGTGGCCTCCGCCAGGATCAAGTCTTGGGATATTTGAAAATCTGTTTGCAGGGATGTTCGGCTGTCAGGCGGCAACCCAGCTGCTGCAGCCAGGAACGCATTGCGTGTCTTGCTCAGCGATCTCTGAATAAATTCGTTGAACGATCCATCAGCAAACTGATGAGCGCGTCGGCCCTTCATTGGGCAGCTCTTGCTCTTGAAGTTGTGGCATGGGCAGCCCTGATCGACCAAAGGAACGGAAACGAACGGAATCTAATCCAAAGGGTCCAAGTCGAAAGGCAAATGTCACAAGCAAGACAAAGCTGAAACTGATCAAAATCCAAGTCAAAACAAACCCTTGCTTGGCCTCACACCATCTGGATATTGAGTCCAGTTGACTGTGCAGAAGGAAAAGCATCCGCGTGAAAGCCCAGAACCATGGGCTTTTCACTGCCTCGTCGCAAGCAGAGAAGACCTTGGTGTCCAAGAGCTTGTGGCGCTTGTTCGGCTCATCATCGTCAGGCTGGTCGGCACGTGGCTGCTCATGCTGCAAGCAGGACAAGGACCAATTTCCGCGAAGTGCAATTTCCCTCTCCAGCAAAGATTCGCACACACTCACCAGCGAACTCCACCGCCAATGGATCAACTGGCCAGCTGGCCACTTCTCCATCAAAGAGCGGAACTCAGTGTGCCGGAACATGCCGTCCACAATGCGGTCCCTGTAACACCTCAAATATAACAGGTTGCTCACGGCCCGGAGCGATTCCTGAGGGAAGGGCAGTTGCAGTGCTACCACCAACACCCTGCACAAAACACAGAGAGCAAACTCTAACACGCAACATTCCATACGCTTCACAAAATAGACCAACACTGAATCATTTGCTTAAGCCGGGTTGCCTTGTACTGGTTGAAATTCTGTAATTGAGCTAAAACATCTCCGCTGATGTTGTCCCATATGTGCTTCTGGCCATGCACAGACATTGCCCCGTCCAACCCGAAAGTTGCATCTGGATCTGGAGAAGCTTCTGGCACAACCCTTGGGGCCTGAGGCTGGGCCCTGTGCCCCTGCACAAACACAGACTCCCCGTCACTGTCCATGTCTTCAATCTGCAAACAGCCGCCAGGGAGCCCATGCTCTTGGTGTTGCAGCAACAGGCCTTCTGAATCCCGGATGAGCCTTTCCAGTGCGGATTTGATAGAAATCCGTGGAACCTGGACGAGACCAACAAACAGAAGTGGGTTTAGTTTGGGTTACACCCTATGGCCTCGCTCAGCTGGCTCTCAGTCCCGTAATCGCAGCACAAGCCGGTCACGGAGCTCGCAAAGTCTGAGAGGGACGATGCCTGCCACGTGCGACTCCGATGCAGTCCGGGTTACCGGGTTGGTTTATGACGCTGAACTTGCTAGGCCCACTACAGGCCCACCCAGCCTTGGTGCCAACCTGCAGCTTGATGCAGTGGAACAGGCACTCAAACTTGTCCGCAAGTGAGGACTTCCCGCTGCCAATGATGCCCACAGGCAAAGTTGTGGTTTTCAAAAAGCCGGAGGACAGGAAGTCTTCATAGGCAAGCAGCGCAGGGTCATCATCGTGTTCGGCTTCGCTGGCCCGCTCGATCAGGCACATCAGCTTAGCAGCGTCCTCTCGCAAACAAGAGTCCTGAAGCGTCAGCAGATAATCGTACCCCTGCTGCGGCGAGGAGTCCACGCTCAAACAGCAGAAGTGGGAGCCGGGGCCAGTCGACTGAAACATTTGCTGCTCCCTGCAAACCAGTGCCACATCAAGACGTAGGCGGCCACGTGACAGCACAGAGACCGATGGCACTTGCAGCTTTTGATTCTGCAGCATGCTCTTGTAGTGGGCGCCGACGTGGCTGCCCATGAGGAGTGCAGCAGCGCGCGTCAAAACATCTTCCAGCTTCTCATTGTTTTTGACCTGGGCGAGGGCTTGAGGATTGGCCAAAATAGGATACATGTGCAACTGAAAGCGCAAAGTCTATCAGAAGTGCACCAGCAAGAGGGGTGAACAACAAACAAAGCTTAAACCCCAACTCAGTCTCCTGCAAGCCGGCTGAGCAAAAGAGATTCCAGCACCGATGCAAACGGGTAAGTAACCCCGCCAAACTGCCGCTTGACTTTCTGAAGCGTTTGCTGCCTCTGGCCCATTGTAATGCACTTGGCCTGATTCAACAGCATGTTGACTTCATCCTGAGCTTCGCATGTTTGGGCTGGGGGGGGGGGGGCACAAAAAACAACCTGCAAAAAACGACTTGGGCATATTGAACCTCTCATTCATTGAAGGCTTAAAGCAAAGCAGTCCTACGAATTCACATCCTGAGCCGAACCCCCTAGCCCGTCAAAAGCTTAAGGCTTTACCCCCTGCTCAGAAACACAATGTCTGAGGGGGGGGCCGGTGCCAGCCGAAGAGCTTTGGAACAATAACAACACAAAATGCCAGGACATATCTATCCAATCCAATGGTCCAGTACAAAAATCAACCAGGAATCTGCCAATGCAAGCAAACGCATAAATGCAGACGCGCTCTGGGCAAGATTGAATGTGTGGCACAAAGAAACTTGAGCTCCGTCACAACTCACAAGTCTGAACATGTCATATCGTCATCAATCAGGGAGTTCCCTCAGGTTAAGGAAAAGGAGTTGAAGCAAAAAGTTGGTCTTTTTCGGGGGCACAGGGGGCAGCCCTAACACACCGGTCACATACTATCAAACGCGCACCAAGCGACGTGCTCAGTTTCCCCAAGACGTCTTGCAGCAATCGTCTTTGCCACATTCAAAGCCTGCTCCAATGCAGCAGCATCTGCTTCATCAACATCTTGTCCCCTCCCTGCCCGCGCCCTGCGGCGGGGAGCCGCAGCAAACATGGCCCATTGAGCAACCGCCGGGCCCCCTCAACCCCCTGAGCTACAATGCGCAGCGCGAACGGGCTGCTCAGCTTGCGTCTCTTTGTGTGAGCATGGGCCACAACAGCCAACAACCCGTGGACCACAAAAGTTATGCGCAAATCCGTGTCAATAAGTGTTTTTAGGGTTCTCGGTGCCCGAGAAAAATGAACACGCACTTCGGAAATGACCAAAAACAAACAAAAACACTTATCGGGGTCCCTTGCGACATGATTTTCTGAAACGGGCCACTGGCGCAAGTTCTTATGTTGGCTTGTTGAAAGTCTAAACCAAGTTAACGTGCCGTATTTAAACAGGGGCGGGGTTCGTATGGTGGACACTTAAAGTATATCTTGGAGGACAATCGGATCACTAGTTACCCCGCCCATTTCTCATAAGCCTTACAACAAAAGGCTGATTGGGGCAGCACAAAACGGCGTCCCCCGTTTTCAGATGCACCCATTGAACGAATATCGACTGCCATCGTCCAGCCTATCTTTAGTTATCTTGGCGCTGGCGTCGGGAAATCCCCGTAGCCAAGCCCCCCTCACTTGCCCATTTGTGGCAAAATGACATGCTCTTGTGCCCATCCAGCCGAAAGGCGAATTGTCTTTTTCCCGTTCTCCGTGCGCAGCCTTCGTTCCAAACACACACGCCGCGGCGCAGGCGTGTAGATAAGACCCAACCCCAACCATCCAGGGCGTCGAGCTCATAGCCAGTGAGCGATATCGAGTTTTCCCGTGGCTCCAGAAAATTCCCCAACGGATTTGCTAAGCGAAGCCTAGGAGCCAAAGGAGAGAGAGAAGTGTTTGAAGCCACAGTGGCTGAATTGGGAAATGGGTATGTCTCAAATGGGGTACCCCCAAAATGGTTGTGTTCCTTTTGGTTTTCCTGTAAACCAAAACCATAAGAGGGTACTCCAAGCAAGACACCCAAACAAGAATAATCAACTAACAAACCCAACATGAACCCTTGCAGTCCTGGTGCTCGAACATATCCCCTTGAAGTACGGCCCTGAAGGAAGACACACTGCATGTCCCCTGTGTCTAGACAGGGGCCTAGGCAGGTGATGTCACTTAGCTGGCAAAATGGGACTTAGAAATGAACCCCACTGTGGCTCGGGTCATGCAACCTCCCAACAGAATTGTTTGTCCCTGTTGTGTTCCTTTCGTTTTCTTTTTCTCACTTCCTGAGTGGACGGCCCAGACCCAAACTTTCTGTACGCCACTAAACTAGTCATCCCAAAAACTGACTAAAGTCCAGGAACTCATGGAGTGAGCTTTCCCCCCCCCAAAAAAAAAACAAAAAACTTTAGATGAATCTGTTCATTTTCATTTCTCTTCTCCAGCCTCAAAAAACAACGCCACTGTTCTGCAGGTTCTCCTACCGCGCCTTCGTGAAATTCCCCGGAGACCCGGGGGCACGGCAGTCTCGCAGCCCGGCTTCCGCGTGGAAGAACTTGCGGAGCCCCGTCAGGGAGAGGCCTTCGAAGGCGGCGAATTTGCGGGGGAATGCGCGGCCGATCGGTCCCGAAAAGGGACGGTGCTGGTTTTTTTGGGTTGGCAAGCAGAGAAGTAAACACAGAAAGCCAAGCACGCAAGCAAGCAAACACACAAACAAAGCCAAGGGTCGGGTTTTTGCCGGCTAAAGGGTGGCGTCTGGAGGCAAATGGCACCTTTGCTTCGTCAAACTTTGAAGAGGTTTTCCCGCTCCAAAGAGAAACGAGGGCACCGGGATGGGGAAAAACTCCTGGAGAGGGCCAACCACAATGGCCATGGGTCAAAATCCCGCATCCCAATCCGCACTAAAATAGGTTCTAAAGTGGGTGGTGCACCTACCCCAAAATGGCACCATTGGTTTTGACCCACAGTCAAATGGGACACCTCCGATTTTTTCAAGGGTCGATTCATCCTGGCCTTTACGGAAGCCCCAAGCATTGCAAGAAGAGGGACCAGGAGTTTACCCTGCAGGATGCTGCGAATGGTTGTGTTGTTCCGGGAACATGACCCTTCTTTTCTTGGCTGGCCAAACGCCGCGCAGCCCTGGTTCCAAGGGGTACGGTAGGAGGGTTGACTGGGAGTTGCTAACCACTTGGCTCTTTTCCCAACCATCTAAGCAGAGAATTTGAATCACAGGTGAATGCTCCCACAAGAATGATGGCTACCCTTTTGCAAATATTTTTGCAGGAACCAGCGGAGCGAACTCTACCATCCTGTTTCCGTTCTCAAGCGCATATGTCCAAAAAATGGTTGCTGAATGGGGTGCAAATCCAAAATTACGAGCACGAGCAATATCCGAAACAATCAAACATAGTTGAACGTTTTTTTGTCAAAAGAGTGATCATCATGTGTATGCGGTCGCAAATCAGCAGTAGGTCAAGTTGCTATAATTTGCTTCGACGCTTTCTTTGTTCGCGAAATGGAGGTGGGAACATTGAGAGCGCCGCCGTTATTGTGGCTGGCATGTGTTTTTGTTCGATGCATTTGGGCGCCCTTGCTCTCAGCCCGACTGGTCGAAAGGGAACGTGAAGAGGAACGACAAAAGGGTAAAACAATGAATATTAAGCTAAGCCTGGCAATGCCGCCCAGGGCGCTATCCACACGTTTCCGTCTTTAGCTGCTTCATTGAAGTGCCCTTTCTCTGCTTTTCTTCTTCGACTGCATTGCTGAGATCGAAACTCGCAAGTACTGACCAAAAAGGCAGTTGTTGCTGGTGTGTTCCTTTCCGTCCCCCGCCCCCCCCCCCCCCCCGGCCATGTCGCATTGCGAAGAAAGGGGGTGGGAATAAGCAGACAGCATGCCCAAACCAACCTGAGGCATATTTGCCCCCGACCCAAAGTAGATTTGAGTCAAGTATACGAGAAACAAATAATAATGAGCAGAGTGATGTGAAACTCGTCAAAGAAACAATCCATGTAAAGACCCCCCACCCCGAATCCCACGCACCCCAACCTTCCTAACCCCAAACACCCCAAGCGCCCCGACCCAACCCACAACCAACCCTCGCGGAAAATGGAATCATTGGCAAATGGTGGTTTGCCGCGTGGTTTCCCTTCAAAACCACCCAACATTTACGACACCCCCAGAAAAAAGAAAGACCCCCCCTTTCTTGATTGGTTCAAAGGGAAACCAAAAGGACACCCACCGTCTCGCTCCTTTTTTCCTGGGGGGGCGGGGGTAAACCAGTCCCTTCGCATCCGTCCGGTTCACGCCCCGCGGACGCTTTTCACGCCAACGACTCGGCGCTCCGGCGGAAGGTGCCCTGCGGGTCAAGCGCGCGCCGCCAGGCCCGAACCTCAGCGTCGAGCTTCAGCTCGAGAGAGGCGAGAGCCAAATGGGCCATAGGCGTTTCAAAATCCCAAGCCCGGTTAGCCCCCAGCGAACATCCGATTCAATCCAACCACCAGAATAGGTTCGAAGATTGGTGGTGAATTCACCTACCAACCAAAATGGTACCATTGGTGTTGATTCACAGCCATATGACGAGAATGGCTTCGTTGCTATATTCCGTGCCAGCGACCAACTTTTTCCCCAGCGACTAACTTGCTTTCTTTCTAGATTGGTTGGGGCAGGTTGCATTCTAGATGGTTGATTGGTTAGATCAAGCGACATGGGTTGGGTCAATTGCCTTTTCTTCGATGGGTTACAGTCTACATTTCGGGCCCTTGCCGATCTTTTCATCACCCTGAGAAACTGTTCTTTCGCTTGTATAGTTGATTGCCAAGTGAAGTGGTTCGCCTGGCTTGCAACTTGGCAACCCACTGACTGGGTGAACCCCACTATAAGTGGGATAGACATAGAACCAGGCTACCAACAACACGTGCAGCGACGTGAAGTTGGCGAGTTGAAGACCCACTAGCATGGGTCCTCCCTTGGAGGCTCCGGTGGTTTCGCGGCGGAGGTGCGAAGGGAATGAGAAATGGACCCAGAAAATTCCTCCACTTCCGATTTGGGTGTGGCTCAAAATCCAAGAGGTAGGGCAAACCGCAGGTTTTTGTCTCTGGCTCCATTTACCTTTTGGTGCCATTTTAGTACACGTTGTTTGAGTCACGTTCGAATTTTCTGCCATTTTAGTACATTGAGCCACTTTCGATTTGGTTTCCTTTCGTTTCAATCCCGAAACCAGTTCAACCCCCAATCTCGGTCTTGACCAAGTTTCTCGCCAGAAGCTAGGGCTGCTTCAGGGGGCTGCTTCAGGGCGGGGCCAAACACCTGGTACCCTCTCTCCCACGGGGGGGGGGGGGGCGGGGGGGAGGGGCAAAACAAAAAGGAACCCTCTCTAACTACTCCCACTAACAGAAGGCACCTCTTGTGGGGGGATCAATTTCCTCTTGGAGGGAATTTCTGTCAGGTGCTGTTTTAGTGGAAGCGAGCCTGACAACACGCTTGGATGTTCGAAGTTGCTTGGGTATTAACCAGGGTTGCTGCTGAAACAGGGACTGGCTGACGCACGACAATGTATAGCCTAGATACGATGCAGGTTGACCAAAGCAACGGGGCAAAATCAGGTGCACTCATGAGAGAAGTCTCATCTTTCACACAGTGTTTGGGATTCTGATCCTTAAGGGAACATATTATGTCCTGTAGGTTTGGAGTCCAAAGAAAAGATCTGTGCAACTCATTTTGAACATGCCGACGTTGTATATAACACATATATATATATACATATTGATATTATATGTATATATATATAGCATAAATCACTTAAATGCAATTCCCAGGTGTACGGCTAGCAACTGTTACCACCAACTTCTACAACCAATAATCAAGAGATCTTCCCCAAGTCGCCGAGCAACCTGCAACCACAACCGATCACAACCACACTTCATCGGTCACCCATGTGGGGGGGGGGGTGATCCAAAGGTTCTTGCCACGTGACCATGAGGGAAACCACACCAAAAGATGATTCTCACCAATGGGCAAAGTTACCCATCATTTTAGTGCCAACCTCACTTTATCTACCATGTCCTTACAGATCTCCCGAGGCTCTGAAAGCCTCCCTCTTAGGCAAATTTGGATACCAAGCTCCTTAGCTGCCCCAAACCCCAACCACCAGCTTGCTTGACCAAGGAGGGCTATGGGGGGGGGAACTCCCTTAACCCCTTAAGGCCTTCTTGAGGGCTTATCCTTGCTCCCATTGGCTTCTGCAACTCCCGTATTCACCCCTTCATAAGGCCTGACTCAGGCCTTTATCCTTGCCCTTGGCTTATCCTGCGATAGCCTTCCCCCCATAAACCCCACCCCGCCGTAAGATTCCATGATCCAGATGCTCCCGCCTCGTTGCCATAGCTCTTGCGCAGGTAATGCAGGAACTCCGCGCGAGCCTCCGGAATGACTTGCTGGGGTGGGTTCCCCACTACAAGAACCGGGGGTTCAAATCGACATGGGTATGGGTCAAAATTCAACCACCAGGGGACCACAGGTTTTAGTCATGTTTCCATTTACCAGGGTGCCATTTTGGGTACCTATTTTTGACCCACAGACACATCCCGAGCAGTTCAAACCATCAACTCAGCAATACCGCCTAAGCGTGATTAGAGGTTAGGCCCAGTTATAGAATGTATAATTTAAAGTTTGCTTCACTTTGAGACACTGGTGATATTTAAAATTGTATTCTAAGTCTAGACAGGTAAGGAGGTTTGTGGAGGTTCTGAGCCCGTTCCAATTGGGGGAATGTCTCCAAAAAACCGATCTCCACCAATTGAGGGTTGCCGAAGCTGTCACTTCGTGTTGCAAGGGGACTTGGAAACTCAAGCCCTTGGGAACATAACGACATGCCCCCCAAAAACAATTGGGAAAAGCAAGGATTGCTCTCCATCCATACAGGATTATCATCGTACCCAAGACAGGAAAATAATGGAAAATATGTGGGGGAGCTAACCAAAAGGCTCAGTTCAGCTGAATTCACCTTGGGGCAACCGAGAAGGAGCCTCACCTATTCAAGGCAATTGTCAGAACCCACCCTGCCCCAAAATAAGAACAGCTACCTCCCTTTGCCTCTTCTAACGCACCACCAAGCCCTTTCGGATTTCAGGATCGCAATGAAAAGCTGTTCAAATAGGTAGAGAGCTAGGTCTTTCGGTATCTGGTCTGCGAACTTACCTACGAATCCTACATGCGTTCCTCAATGTTTTACTTCCCAACTCCCCCGCACAATAGGACGACACTCCATGGGACCCTCCCACATTAGGTGAAATGTTTGAGGTTAATATGGGTTTGGTCTTTTCTGGGGGACCCCCTATCATGATGGCTTTCGTTGTGGTTTCCCTTTCAGAACCTTTAAAGCCCAAAAGAAAGGGTACCAACTCCAAAACAGACGAGCCACCCATTGGAGGTAACAAACTTAGAATCTGAGCAATGCTGGCCCCCATGAAATATCTGGGCGCATCTCAAGGCGCCTTAGAACTGCAAAACAATCTGTGAATTCCCCCTTCGATTTTAAACAACTCCAGAAAGGGTTTTCCAAAAGGTGTGACACATCTCCGTGCAGGGCCCAGAACAAAGGTCTTCTCAAAACCGAACCTTTTGGCCTTCTTTGGCCTCACTTAGCCAGCTTTACCTGTGCAAAAAATCAAGTTGGGAACACGATTGGTGAAACTCACGCTGAAGATTCGGGTTCACGCCTTTTGGCAAACAACTAGGGGGCCTGAAAGATGATTGGCTTCCCTATAAGCCACCTCAAAAACTGGGCTGTTCTCAGGTTGCTCAAAGTTTCACTTGCGGGCAAAATAGAAACTACCACTAAATAAACTCAAAAAGCAAAGAACAGCTCAACCCGGACGGCTGGGAGCGACCGTCCAAAACGGAGGCTACTGTCCCAAACCCGCTTCGACGGCCCGGGCGACAGCGCCTGCTCCGTGCGCCGCTCCTCCGCCTGCTGCCAGTCCTGCTTCTTCTCGCACACGATCTGCCCACCGGAGCTGCAACTAACATCTCCGTTCTTGGTATGGCAGCATTGTTTTTTTTTGGCAGCCCCCCGGAAAAAATGAACAGAAACAAACAACTGAAAAACCCAAAAGCATGCCAAGCACAGTGAAGCTAACCGGCTGGGGGGTTAACTCTTTTTAGGTGTCTTTTAGTTGACCATTGTGCTTACTATTTTAAAAGAACGAAGCACCAAATCTCGCCGAACCGACGTTAGCGTTCCAAGATGTTGCGCGTCCCGAAATTGTGAAGCTACCTGCCAAGAAGAGTGAAGGAGAACTTGGACGTCACTGCTCATGTGCGAGGAACACACACAACTACACATATATATATATATATATTATGTGTATATATATATATTATGTGTATGCGATATGTGTATATGATATGTTTATACACACATACAGCTATTCGTGCAAACAGAAAGTGGCCCACCCATGTTCGCAGAACCATGAGTCTGGGCTGATGGCTGAGTGGTGCTTTTGCCAGGAGTGCGACCGGGTCCGATTCCAAAATGGCGCTTTTCGGCGTTCCTCAACCACAAAAGAGGGCCTCGCCATCATCAAATGAGCCGGGCGTCTTGGCTTATTTGGCTTGTGTGTCCATGCACCTTCCCTTTCTTCCTCGTTTGCTCATTGTTCTGGTGGTACAAACAAATGATAACCCCTGCTAATCTTGCTGGTGCAGGGGATGAGGGAATGAACCTGCAAATTCCCTCAAAGAAACCATAGGGGATTGTTTTCATAGGGGGCAGAAACCAATGTCTCATTCCTTTCATTCCTTTCATGTCATTGGGGGGCTGAAACCAATGTTCTCATTCATAGGAAACCAATGTTTTCCATTGGGGGCAGAAACCATGAAACCATTTCTCATTCCTTTCATGTCTCGCACCAGCGAGTCATTTGCTGGCCTTGGACTTAATTAGGCCGGATCGAGAGCCAAGCCTGTGGCAGCTGCTCAAAGTTTCGAGCTTGCCAGGGCCTGCGCAAATGCCGAGGGGAAACTTGTGCCAGACATATCCCAATTGGATCATACACTATCTAGGTACATTTACACATATTACACGTACGTATATTAATATATGGACAATTTATGTCAATGTATAGATTTTGCGTGTGTGTGTGTGTATATATATATATATGTATACATATATGTATATTCATATAACCTTCAGAGATATCCTAGTTAAACATGGGCTCTGACCCTCGGAGGGTCCTTTGTTGCCCGAACAGATTGACCCCTAGCGTTGAACTGTCTGGAGTAATTGGATCACACATATTTGGTATACCCTCAAAAACCCGACATCTAGGTCGGCGCCCTCAGTTTCAAGATGTATGTTTGGGACACACCGATGTATGGGACAAAACCCGGCAGTTTCCATTGAACCAACACCTCAGCCTCGGCCGGCCGGTTCGGTGAATCCGTGGATCACCGGTTTCAGCTTAAAGATTTGGGCTCCGGCTCCTTTGGGCTCCGGCTCCTTTGGGTTGGGTCAAGAGGGGGCCATAAGATTCTGGGCCACGGGGGTTCCCCACTTTGGCCATGCGGATGCCTGATCTCAACTCCCAGTGATTCATCCAGTTCCATTGGTCCGTTTTTTTGTGCGCCGGAAAGATCATCTTCTGGAAGTGAGACAGCGGAGTGTCTATGATGCGTTCTCAAATGGCTGGATCGTCGTGTTTTAGAGGTGGTACCCCTTTTGCATGCGAAACCAAGAGGAAAACCACCATTTTGGGGGTCCCCAAACAAAGACACGCCCAATTGGGTGGCTCGTTTTTGATGAATCCTCCATTTCTCGAGGTGGCTCCACAAATGAAAAGCGCGCCTGTGCCGTGCCAAACGCGGACGACACTAAGCAACATAGCGTGGCATACACCAGCCGTCTTTGTGTTTTGCGGCACAAAATGAGTGGTCTCATGCTGGTCTCATGTTGTTTTCTCTTCACGACTCATTCAAAGTTGGCACCGTTCCAACCCAAGAAATGCCCGTGCCATCGGCCACTGGCGAACAAAGAAATACAAGATTTCGACTCTGGCAAGCCGAACACGACAGGCTCAGGTGCGGATGTGTCAGTCCCATTCCCTCAGGCCCTGCTGCGGTGTAGTACGCAGTACACATCGACACATCAGTATACAGTATGGTCTGAAAGTCGCTAACAGACTCCAGACATCCCAGTGAAAAATGCGAAACTGACCTGGGCGGATAAAACCTTGCCAGAGATCCGGTCCTCTGAGGGCCAAGATCAAGATTAGCGTCTTCTGTTGACTCCAGGGCTCCATCCGAACACCTTTGGACTCCCTCTTGCCTCGCTTCTCCCTGTCCCCCTTTCAAACCAGGGCGGTCTATACAAGAAAATGTGACTCAAACCCAAACAGCCCAAGCTCCAAAAAGTCAAGCAACTAAAATACCAACCTTTGTGTACCACTACTTATGTGGCAACCAAACTTCCCATTTCACATGACTCAAGTCCTTCCTTTCGACGGCAGATCTGCAAAAATCGCCCTTCGTTCCGGGCCTCGGAGCCAGGCGATGTCTATCTGACACACCCCGGTTCTTCTCCTGGAAAGAAAAACCACGCGGATTTCTGCGCCAAGCCAAGAGCGACTTGCGCTTCTTCTTCTTTTTTGGGGGGGGGTTCAACTCGGGGTCAACTTGCCCCCATTTCAAAGAATGGCCCAAGGGGGCCCAGTTTGGATGATGACAATCCTGAAGATCTTGAAGGGTAAACAGTGGTTAAACAAACCTCCATTGTCTTCATGGTGGTTTGAACCCCCCTGGATCTTCCAAATCATAGAAATTTAACGTACAACCCGGAGACTACCACTTTTTCAGGGTCTCAGTGACAAAAACCGGAGTTTGTCAAACTACTAGTTTTTAGGGTAAAACTCTTTTAGAAATTGATTGTCACTCCTGGAAATGGGTTTGCACACCTGAAACCAGTAGAAATCGCAATTATTCGATACTTGACGGAAGGACCTCTCCAATTCAGACATATTCGGAATCAGAATAGCTCACGTGAAACAGAATCGATTATTCAGAGTTCAGAAATTGAACAAATCTGAAACGTTCATAGATTTCGCCTTTGGGGCACACGTATGCAAAACCGGAAAACGCCACACCCACCAAACAACTCACACAAACCTGCCACATTCCCGCCAAAACTGCAAACTCCCGCAAATAAAAAAAGACAGAGTTTCCGGAAAGTGCGCGTTCAGCAAAAGCGGTGGAATACCCACTCGAGCGCACAGAGTTGCATGATTCGGATACAAGAAGATTGGTTTCCACTTGTTTGCCCCAAGAACAACGCCGAGTTCTGAGTTTTGGATTTTCACTCCTGCCTTGGGCAAGCCACTCCTGTTTTTGGATTCATGCATTTGAAACATCTGGGTATGGGTCAACATTCAACCACCAAGACACCGCAGGTTTTAGTCAGTGTTTCCATTTTGGGTACATATTGCTTAACCCACAGCCATCTGAAACTCCTGGACTTCAGAGGGTCTCCTGGAAGTCATCCGGAGAACGGGACACACAGACAAATAAGCCAGAGACGGAGGAGCCAGGCCAGGAATTTCCCTTTCAAACCAACCCCAAAACTAGGCTGGAATTAGGACCCCGGCAAAAACAATATCCGTTTTGCCTGGTTAGTGCAAAAAAGCCAAAACAAAAAAGGGGGGGGAGCTAATTCTGGGGAAGAAACCGTTTTCCTCCTTGCGGTTTCCTGCCGGCATTGGCTTCCTGCTCGAACCCGGTGAACGACTGGCTGATGCAATCTCTCTCAGTACGAGTAGGATCAAATGGGTGAAGCTAAAAAACAATAAAACAGACTCTGGTACTCTGGTGAAGGACAACAATACGTCGGGTGTTTTGTTAGCATATGAACAAACATTTAGATAAGACATGATGAGACCCCAGCAAACTGAGAGGACATACCCCGATAAACTCCAACTCTCATTCGCCAGTTGTGAGATCATTGGGCTCGAACGGCTTCCATTTGCCTTTGGGCTTCAACCTCCTTGTTGGGGGGAGATCAAAAGGTTTACCTGGGCTGTCCGTCGGATCTGCTAAAAGTGACCAGTGACTAACTTGTGGGTTCAATTCGGAAAGCCAACCAAACCCACTAAGAATTGCAACAAAAATGGCTGAGGGGCCAAACAAAACTGGGCCCAAATGGCGCGGGGAGGTTCTGAAGAGTCCGAGTCGAGCTCCTCTTGGAAGACCTCCGCCATAAACTGCTGCTTGTGCTCCTGAGCTCGGAGGACTCTCAAAAAACGTCGTGGATTGGTTTGGTTTGGTGGGGGGGGGAACCCAATTGCGCATCTAGAGCCAGCGGTTCAAATCGTACCAATGCAGTACTTGAGGGCTACCTGAGGACACTGCGGTATGAAACCAGCTTAAGTCATCATGGGGCAATGGAACCAAATTATCTAGGATTCCTTTTGCACAAACAAATGCCCATGAGTCCTAAATTGGGCTCCTGAACATGGATCCTGAAAAACCCGGGCGTTGCCCGGAACCCAACTATGGGTGTGGGTCGAATTGTGGAGCCCAAAATGGAGCATCAATAAATGGAAACAAACACTAAAACCTGCGGTGCCCTGGTTAAAAAGTTGACCCATACCAACGCGACTTACCCTCACTCCCACTAACATAGCACCTCACAGGGGTCCCTACCAGAGGAAGATGATCTTCCAGGTACCCTCCCTCAGGTGCCTTCTGTTTGTGGGAGGGAGGGTATTTGTTGCAACATGGTTTCATTGCGCCTCCCAAGATGGTTGACTTACACCGCGCTTTGCGCGGCCGTTTCAACTCTCAGAGCCGCGTCCCGTCCCACTTCGCAAAGGAACGCTCGAAAGTCGTGGACTCTCAATCCCTCCAGCCCAAAAACCACGGTGAAAGACCGGTCATGTACAGGTTCGTGAAGGGTTCACATGGACCCCTCTGATTTTCCCTGAATTATTTCGCGAAACCTGTTCGACGTGGTCAACTAAAGAGCTGATCATTTGCCCCTTGATGAAAGGAAAACCTTTCGAGGTCATGACTAAACATGGAGGTTGAAACGTCGATCAGGGATCAGTGGATTTCCCCTTCAAAAGTTGCCACTGATCGACGTGCTGTCCCCTGAAACTGCCACTGTTGAAGGCTTCAAACGAATCGGAAATGGAGCAGATCTTGCCGATTCGTTTGCAACTGAGTGCTGGGTATGGAGGGCATCCTGCAGGGAAGTACACAGGTGACCCTGTAGAATGTAGAGCTGGACCTGAACGTCACAAACAAAGCGTCTCAAAAGGTGCTTGGTAACTTTCAGGGCTTTCCGTAGCTGTCCAGGGGAGGAACCTGGGTTCAACTCCTGAACACCTCAGTCCTTCCTTGTGATTTGTAGACATCTAGGTTCTGTTCCTGGGAAAACTACAAGCAACAGCTTGTGAAACTCTTACACCTCGTGTCAAGTTGGCGCAAATATGTCAATTGGCTTTTCACGCGGATATGCGCGGATGAAACTGGGGCATCTCCAGCCAAAAAACAAGGGAGCAGTGACAATGTCAAGACAGAATAAAGATGCGAGGCAAGGACTGGTGCCGGTATTCTAACATTCACAAAGTCACCCCCGTTCCCTGGTTTTTTGACTTTGATAACCCCCAGAAACAGTCCAAATAATAACACCAAAAGGACTGGGCCAGCCAAGCAAGGGCTGCTGTAGCTGCGGGCAGCCACGGGCTGAGCTCTCATGCTCCGAAAGCGCCAGCTGATCGCAGATTTCCAGTGGAGCGTAGAGATAAAAGCACATGGCATTGGGTCAAAATGGGTACCCAAACTGGAACCCTGTTAAATGAAAACATGGACTAATGTGTGCGGTCCCCTGGTGGCTTAATTTTGACCCATGCTCAAATGGAGTCTGACAGGAAACCTGCCCCATTTCATAGAAATGCTTCAAACCTCCACAATGAACCTGTGCTTGGGGGTGTTGGCAGAACCCACATGTGCTTGTCTAAGGCTACCCCCTCTTTAGACTTGTTCCATGCCGGCTGAGTAGGTCACACATATCTTGAAAATTGAGCAAGCAGTGGTAAATGAGGTGACTGATCTTACAACTACGGTAAAAAGCTATAACCTACTTACCTGCTGCGTGTGGTGGGGGTACACCCTGAATTAAACAAGTTAGTTGCCAGGCTTAGAGCCTTCAGTTTTTAGTGAAACGGCCGATCAGCCTCCAAGGTTGATGATTGCCAGTTTGAGTTTTTGACCGGCTGTCAATCCTACAGGGCTTTATGTATCGTCTAAGGACATAAACTTTGGGTCAGTATTTGAATTAATCAGAAACGGTTTCCTTCCAGTTGGCTTCCATCTGCTCTTGTGACTGATATGGTCCTCCAGAGAAATCTGAAGCGAGCACTACTTCGAACTTCCCTTCCACCCTTGAAACCCGTCAAAAGCTTCAACATCAGAAACCATGAACCCCGCCAGAAGGTAATGGAAAAATGAAGAGTGGAGCAGACCTGGCCAAACTCATGAAAGTCATGATTATGAAAGAACAATTGTTGTGATTGCTTTGTCCTCTAAATTACGCCGGCCACTCTGAAACCCCCGTCAAACTCATCACAAGGTGAGTCATTGTCAAAACTTGGCATCTTCAATGGCCTACCCCCAAGTCACGTAACAACTCAAAACAGCGAGCGCGCCTGTTTCTGGTTGGGACTATCCATTAAATACGTCAAAACAACAACATGGGGTTTGCCTTTGGTTTCCCTTACAACCTACCGGAGAACTTCCATTTACTTAAGCCCCCTGGAAACATTAAACATATTTCCAGTAGTGATACATTCCCTTTAAACCAGGGAACATCACACATACCCTTCCTCCCACTAACCGCAGGCACCTGTGAGTCACTTGGAAGATCAATTTCCTCGTGGGTCCCCCTAGGTGCCATGGCAACGTGGGAGGGAGGGCATTCTGAAACGCAAATGGAAGCATAGGCGACATTTTGGAAAAATAGATGGCCCTGGTAAATGGAACAAACCCCATCTAAACCAGTGGAACCCATCTATTTTTCACCAAACTAACCTAAAAAGGGCGCGCTTTGGTTGCAAGAGCACGGTGCCGGGCCTCCAAAAAGCCACGGGGCGTGGCTCAGGATCCGGCTGAGTCCCAGGCGCGCTGACCCAAGCGCATAATCCTCAAGCGTTGCTCCTGGCTCGGTTTGGTTCCCTCGGACGGAGCCCAGGGTCCAAGGTCCGAAGAAACCCTGACAACAATGGTTTCAACCCTATGGACCACCCTGGAAAGGAACTTCTATGGACCACCCTATGGACCACCCTATGGACCACCCAATGGTTTCAACCCTATGGTAAGGAACCCTGACAATAAGGCCATATTTCGGGCAGCCTAAGGAACTTCAATGCTCTCAACCACCCGCCCTGGTACTACACCCCTTTGCTGAAATGGAGTCCAGGGTGGTCCAAGCAAAGCCCCATGTCAGGAATTCTCAAAACTCTCCGCCGGCCACCCTTGTACCAACACCCCCTTTTAGGGATTCCATAATTTCCCAATGTCTCACTTTCTGGGTGATCAAGAAAGTGTAACCAATCACAAGGTCCCTCTCAAACCAAAAACAAGGAACCTAAAGGTTGGACAAGTAACTTTGGGACAACACAAATGGATTGGGCTCGGGGCTGCTCCCACATGGTCTTGCAGCAAAAATCGATGTGGGCTTCCAAAGAAAAAAACTGCTTTGCCCCCGAATTCGCTGTCCCAAAGCGTGTCCAGGAAATTCCATCGGGGGTGAGATGCTATAACCTTACGTGGGTACATCCGAGCAGCTTGGGACCCAAAGCTGAGAGTGAGAAGGGCGAAATCACTCCTTGCCATGAGCAAACAGGCTTGTTGGTTGAACCTAAAAGGGCCCTTCAGTAACAACTAGGTTTGTGCGCACATGTATGTATATGTATAAAGAAGTATGCATCTATGTATATGTGGCATGCCCTCCCCCCCTAAGCGCAACCAAACATTTATGATTCAGCGTGCTGAGATTCGACATATATCCCAAAGGTATATCTCCCGAATCTTAAAACTTGGGCCTTGAGAAACGGGGCGAACAAATACGTTGAGGTAAATGCGGTACAAGATTCAACATTGGAAAATATGCGCAACATTTCCATGCGACCGCACAAACAACAACAGTCCTACCCCCACCATGGCTGGAATGTTGTGCTGTTTTGTGAGCTTTTTGTGTTGTGTTTGTTGTGGTGTTGGTTCTGTGACTTTGTTTGTTGCCAACTGTTGCGCAACAATGTCAGGAATGCTGCGCACCATTCCCAACAAGCCACAATTGGAGCCAGAAGTGCTGGTGGGGAGTGGCCAAATGCCAGAAATGCTAGTGTTGGTTGTTTTGGTTGTACTCAATGTTTGGAAAAGGTTGTGCCGGGGGTGTACTCATCTATCGATCTATCTATCTATCTATTTATCTTCTACCTACCTACCTACCTACCTACCTAGCTAGCTAGCTAGCTACCTACCTAGCTACCTAGCTACATAGCTGCCTACCTACCTACCTACCCTGCCTGCCTGCCTGCCTGCCTGCCTGCCTGCCTGCCTGCCTGCCTGCCTGCCTGCCTGCCTGCCTGCCTGCCTGCCTGCATGAGGCCTGCCTGCCTGCCTGCCTGCCTGCCTGCCTGCCTGCCTGCCTGCGTGCCTGCCTGCCTACCTACCTACCTAGCTAGCTAGCTAGCTATCTATCTATCTATCTATCTATCTATCTAGTAGTATATCCACCCTATCCTATCCTATCCTATCCTATCTTATCCACTTATCATCATGCACGTATATATATATATATACATATGTCATATTATACCACTGTGTTTTACACACAAGCCCCACGAGTTTCCTTCTAACTGCAGGACCCCTGCTACCTCCATTTTTCCGCGTCCGTCCTCGTGGTCGCGCACCCGAGGATCCGGCTCCAGGAACAGCAGGTCAGCGGCTCGGATGCCCTCCTCCGACAAGTCGCAGAAGCCTCGGCCGCGGATCGGAGCGGATGGGAGCGGAGGCTCGGGGGCAGCGGCGGCCCGTGCGCGTCGGGGACCCAAAGGTTCAGATTTCACATCTTAAACATGGGGGGCGTATTGCAACGCGGCATTCTGGCGGGCGCATTCCCTGGTTTTTTTTGGGGGGTTTACTGCAACCCAACATTCTGGTGGGTAAATCCCCTCTGTTTTAGTTTGAGGGTCCAGGGTTGCTTGAACATACTTTGGAGGTCCATCAAAAGGGATGACCATCGGAAAACCACGAAAACATGAGAGTTCCCGCAGAAGTCACCCATGGAGAATCATGGGGGCCAGGAATCAACCTGGTTTTGGTTGGTATTTGAAGGGAAACCAAAAGGACACCCTGGCCATAGGGGACCGCAGAACATAACAGCTGTGTCCCATGTGTCCCAGCCTCGGAACTGTCTGGAGCCCGCTCAAACCCTCCCTGAAAGCTGCTCCGAAGGTTTTCCTGAGGCGCTTGGATGAATCCGTCAGGCTGCGACTCTGCCCAAGAACCTGAGCATGAGAAAGGCACCATAGGGTTTTCGGAACCGTTGGAAGGTTTTGAGATGATACAAAGTTGCAGCTTCAAGCATGTGAAGCCCCCTATTTTTGGCAACTCGAAAGCCGCCCACAGGAGACCTGAAAGGGGATCAGCTTTTCCAAGTTCAGCATCTCATGAGGCCAACTTTGTGGAGGGTGAAATCGATTGAAGGCGACCAATGTACCACTGGCCTTCACACAAACAGGGGTCACTGCATTTCCCCTTTCTAAGTTGCAAGTCAATGGCGATTTTCGCGCAAACTGCCACTTTTGGAGATTCCCAAAACAGAAATGGATCAACCCTGACAAAGGATTCAGAAGACGTGCGTTGCCATGACTTCCCAAAAGTCCCCTTGAAAAGTGTGATAGCTCCCCCCCGAGCTCCGGCGCTTGAGGCGTTCGCCGTACAACTCCGCCATCTCCGAGTCGGGCGCGACCAGCCCATTCCTGGAAAGCATCGACGTCATTCATCGCACAACCCCATACTGGCGGGGTGTTGGTTGTTATTTCTGATATTGTTTTTGATTAAACATGTTTTGTGTGTTGTGTGATTGGTGTGCGGGAAGGATGGAGTGCGTCAAAGAGCCATTTCATAGTGTTTGGTTCTTGAGCAATCAGAAACCAAACAGGGTTTTCAACTTGGGAGATGCATATCTTGCGCGAACCACTCATTTCTTCTAAGAAACTTTTGGCAAAGTCAGGCCCTTGATCATGGAGCTGATGTCCCCAAATCGGCGAGCTCACTCTAATTTGGATCCTTGGATCATTTTCAGGAGCGCGAACTTGGGCGTTGTGTTACCTTCCTCCCTGAAAGCAAACTGGTGAGCCCTTGGCTCGCAGCAACCAAAGGACCAAAGGGGAAGTGAGCAGGGGCTCCCCCTAACAGGGGCGGGCCATCTTTTTTGGCTTGCCAAGCCCAGCGGCAAAATTCACAGATGCGTCAATGATGAAATGAATCCCCGGGAAGCAACCTTCATGAGTGCATGTTCTCCCCCGAGTAAAGCTCGTACATGCAGAACCACTGAGCCCCAGGCTCTCCTTTGCGACTGCATGGCTGTGGGTCAAAACTAGGTACCCAAAATGGAACCTCCGCAAGTGGAAACATGGACTGACACCTGCGGTCCCCAGGTGGTTTAGTTCTGACCCCATACCCACAGGAACTCTGGGAGTAGTGTAATTGCCCAGCCGGGGAGTCCAGCGACACGAGTCAAAAAAGCCATCCTCAATGAAAACCGAAAGATGATCATTCTCCGATGGCTTGCCTCCGGGGCCAATGTTGGCCAATCGGTCTCATTTGCTCAGAAGTGTTCAGAACAATCGCCATCAATCTGCCAAATGGAAAATGCAAAAGCAAACTGAATGGGATCCTCAAGACAAGACCCACATCATGGGTGGTCGCTCTTTTTTGCCCACGAATCCATGAGCTTTTTCCACTTGCTGGTCAAGTCGATTGCTCGTGCATGTTCAACCCACAAAGCCTATGGGTTGTAACCGTCGCCCTCTTTCCAATAATCATGGAAGTGGACAGCGGGATTCCCCAACAGGGACAGAAGTCTTCCAAACCCTCCCTTCAGCTTCCATGATTGTTGGAGGGAGGATATGTCCTCAAACCTGGCTTGGTGCACAGGGCGTTCTTCCATCTTCCAAACGGGGGCTCTGACATTTCTATTTGGGGAAGTCCCTTTCAAAGGGAAGCTAAGAAGGAAGCAACCCACTCTGAAGGTCCCAACAGACTCACTACCCTCTCTTATCAAGTCGCTCAGAACAACTTGCGTCAGTATTGTCGGACCTAACCTTGGGACTCAGTTACCACCACCACTCCAGGAAGTATTTTATACGCATCGAGTCCCTCAGAACTTGCGTCAGTATTGTCGGACCTAGCCTTGGGTTGGGTTCCTCCAACTCATTGCTTACCGTGACGCGGTGGCGAAAAATGTGCTCCCCTGCAAAAAAAGCAGAATCACTTTTCGTGGTTAAACGCGGAAAACATCCATTCGGTGGCCAAAAAGTTGAAGTCCTAACCTCAATTTGGCAACATGCACCAAAGGAAGTTCAGGATCATCCAACTGGGTTGTTGGGGTGCCATTCTTTGGGAATCGGAAGCCCGTCCTGCGGCAGATCTCTGCAAAGTCGTCCAAGGAGAGCACCTGGCTGCAAGTGGAGTCAGCCCTGGAATGGCCATAGGTCAAAACCCAACTAAAATAGGTTCTAAAATGGGTGGTGCACCTATGTACCCCAAAATGGGATCCCATTGGTTTTGACCCACAGCCGAATCCTTTTTCTGGAACCCCATGGATATACCGGGTTTTGTCTGTTTAGGGTACCCCTTCTTGGGGTGAAAAAGGGAAGCCAACAGAAACCCCGCCCCCTTTGAAACAAGCCCACGTATTGAAAGTTTTTTTTTGCCCTGGGCGGTGAACAACTATGGATTCCCTTTCAAGGGCATCAGTCCAGGGGTAAAGAAGAACAAATGGCCCACCCCAGCTACGCAGGGTCATTGGTCATTATTCTGACTGTTTCTGGGGGTTATCGAAGTCAGAAAAATGGGGGCTGTTTCCCTTTTACCCACCACTTAGAGGGTGACTTTGATGATAAAATCATGGGGGCCAGCTCATGTTGACCCAGGATTAATAAACCCGTCCCATTATTAGGGGGGTGAAAACCCCTCCAAAAGTGGTCTGAATCCAACCACTAAAAGGAATTGGACACCCCCCGATCAAAATCAACCAGAGGTTTATTAATCCGGGGTTAACATTACTTGGTGGGAACGCGTTATTGGATGTTGCGCAGCACTATCTCAGCTTGAAGTCCATCAACTCAGGAAGTGAGTCATGATAAAATAATGGGGGCCAGCTACACCTCCCCCTAACCTCAGATCACCCGCCGGCTTCCGTGGGAACGACAGATTCGCTCCAACCCGGACCGCTTCGCCTGGTTTTGCCTTAAGACGTCCTCGTCGGCGAAGAAGAGGCGCCTGCCGGAGTACGTCAGGCCCAAGAGGTGTCCCTGAGTTGGGTAGGATTTGTGAGTCAACATGTTTCTTTCGAAGGGCCAGTTTAAAATTCGTTCAACTCAAATCAGGCGGTCCTTTCTTGGTGGTTTGGATTGCCGGTTTGGATTTGGACTTGAACCTCTGGCTCTTGTAGAAGCAAATGACTTGCGCACCACCCTCACACCACCAAACCGGGCTCCAAGATGGTGGGCTTTCTTTCATGGGGTTTCCCTTTAATTAAGACACACCAAGCCTGTTGCGGAGCGGGACAAAGGTGTGCAAACACTTTCGCGGATGCTTTGGAGGGTTGTTCACTCCGAACCCAGCATCCCAGTGCAAAACGCCACAGCGGGGGACCGAAGCCTTGCGGAACCCAAGGTAAGGGTTAAGGATCTCGTTGATCAGCTTAGGAAATCCGGGGTGGTTCCAGCCGGCTGAAGCGCAGAGAGCCAGAGAGGGTAGCAAAGATGAGACTATAGAGATGCGTTTTTTAGTTGGGATGGAAACTCATAGCCAGATCAATCCAGCAGAGCCCTCCATCTTGTGGGAGAACCAACCAGTCATGTCGACCCCGAATTTATCGACGTGATTCGAGAGGGGTGTTGCGCAGTGAAGCTATGTTTTTAGGTAGTTTGTTACATTACAGGCTTTCATTCATCCCTATAGGATTTTGTCCACAGTACAACCTTGATCGAATTCTATAAGTTCATACCGGGGTCAACAAAACGTCTGTCTTCGGATGTTTCAACAGGCTAATCGAGGGTTTATTACTGGGTCGATATGGGTGGCCCCCATTTTGGGAAGGTGCCCCACATTGTTGGTCCAATCAAGATGAACACCGTTCGGCTATTTTGGAGAGTCCAAATCCCAAAAAAGACACAGACATGCATTCTCACTTGCATACAGTAGGGACCCAGGAGTCAAGGGTGATCACCTTTTGGGCGCCATGACTGCAACTGGAAACATCGAGCAACGCAAAGGTCAAAAGGTCGATTCGCTTTGCGAAGGGTAATACTTTTCCTGGCGGTTTTCCAGCTGTTTCTCTTGAACCCAACCTGCAAAGGGGCGCCCTCAACAAAAATGAACATACACGATCGGCCATAATCTTCAGCTGTTCGGGAAAAAGACTCTGAATATCTCACTTGCTCAAAGGAGCCAGGAATAAACGCTTAGGCGTTTTCAGCCATGACCAAACGTGGGAACCCAACACAACAGGTCAAAAGGTCCATTCGAAAATGGGCAACTCACATTCTGTGGGTGGACGAAATCCTGCACCACTTGAAAACCATGGGACATATCATTGCTTGCTGGTATTTACAAGGGAATCATCATTCATTCCAGGGTTTCTTAGCTCGGTTGCTTTCTGCTCCCCTGCTAAAAGTTTAACTTTTAGTGGCTTAATTCGGAAAACATCCATTCGTTGGCAAAAAAAGAAGTTAAACTCCCAACATCCCTTGGCAAAATGCACCAAACTTATAGGTGGTGTGTTTTATGGAGTTCGTCCACCACCGCTCATGTTTTAACTCACTTTGCATACGAGCTCCGCCTGGGATGGCCGTGCTCCTGGGCCCATCGCTGGAACCGCGTCGCCAGCACTGCGGCCTGCGGCGGTGGCGAGCTTTCTGGGCTGGAAAAATTGCACCCCAGCAAAAACAAAAATCTTGCCTGGGAGAAACCTAGGGAGAACCCTAGGCTGGAAAAATCGCACCCCAGCAAAAAGACATATCTTCTTTGCCTGGTGAGTGAAAAACAAAGGGACCAATTCCAAAAAAGCAAGAAAGGAAAAAAGGGAGCTGATTCTGGGGAAGCTCTTGGGTACGCAAAACTGGCGCTAGCTGGCACTGGCTCAAAAACATGTACCAAAACGTCACCTTGGTAAATGGCAACAAAGACTAAAACCTGCGGTTTGCCCTAGCTCTTTAATTTTGACCCATCTTACCATGATCAAAGTCACCCCCTATGTGGTGGGTTGAAGGGAAACAACCACATTTCTGACCCGAATCACCCTCAGAAACACTCAAAATAGTGGCCCCAGGAAACAAGGGCAACGAAAAGGATGCCTCTACAAGAACCAGGGGTCAAATCCCCAAACCAGCAATCCAAACCACCAACCAAGGGGGCACTTGAACTCAGCAGATCGTGACTCCAGGCGTGAATTCAAGAAAAGCAATCAGCGGGACCCCCAGGCATGATGTAAAAGAATCCACAATGAGGAAGTCCAAAGAAAGCCCTCTCGCACATGGCCTGTTTTCCAAACACGGGGAAATGTGTCACAAACAGGGCATTGGGATTTGGTTCACCCGTCAGACAGACCCGTATGAATATCAAAATTCAGCAGGTTCTCAACTGACGACAAACGTGAAACCAACGGAACCTTCGGCCATCAAAACCAATCTGGCCATAAGGAGACACAAACAGCATCAACCACCATAGTCATGTGTCCGGGCATCCGTCCACGACAACAAAGACGCCTTATCCATTTGGCGACTGGTCCAGCTGGCGCCTTTTGTACAAACATGATTAGAATTTCCCATTGACCAAACAGGTTTTAGTAGAACACACACACACACACAAAATCAGCTCAGGTGATCTCCCCAACAGCATGTGGAACCCTGGTGGAACCCTGGTGGAACGCTGGTGGAACCCTGGTGGAACCCTGGTGGAACCTACCTCCGGGCCGCCCCGGACCACCCCGGAGCCTGGGCCTATCGACCCAAAGCTTTCAGCTGGGGAAAAACAAAAGCTGGCCTTCGAAGCCACCAGATCCGTATCCCGTATCCTCTGGCCTGGGGGTCCAAGTTCACCAGCGTGAGGAAGTCATGGTCTCAGCGAGCGAACAGTTCGTTCGTTTAGATTCTTGGTTACTGTTGACCCCCCTGCAAAAAGTTTAACTTTTTGGGGGGTTTAGTGGAAAACACATTCTTTTCCCAAAAAGTTAAAGTCTAAAGATCCAACCCAATAGCAGTCAAGGATTTGCTTCTGCAAGACAAGCGTTCGTTTGTGATGTATGTCTGTGATTTAGCGTTCCTAGAGGGATTTTTCTGGTACCTTCTAAGGATGTACTTAGACCCCTTTTGGCCCCCCTCCTCAGCCCCATCCTCAGGTGCTTGGACCCTCTGGGGTTAGTTTGTGATGTATCTCTGTGTTGATTTAGCGTTGACCTTTGGATGACAATCCTCATTGTTTTCATGGTTCGGAACTGAACCCCGGGATTACAAAAACAAGAAGCAAAGAAGACGATGCAGGTTCCCGACTGGAAGTGCAAGCAAGTGAGGTATCATGCCTTGGTGTCCCTTGGGGAAAATATACTTGAGAGAAGTTCAAAGAAGTTACAAATTGGCTGTGGCCGCTTGTTGTGACTGGTCAAATTGGGTAATATATGTATGTATATGTATATATACACTCCCGAAACCAACAATAGGCTACCAATGCAGAGCTGTGCCAGTTCTCAGTTGCTCAGAAATGGTTCGGAAGTTGGACATGAATCGGCACCCCAAAAGGCCATGTACAAGTGTTATGAAGACTCAAGGGATCTAGTATTCCAACATCTGGAAAGTCTCATGTGTGAGTCGGGTGCATTCCCAGCCATTGTCGAGCTTTCTACTTTTCTTAGGATCACGAAGGCCCAAGTGAGCAAAAAAAACCACCTAGACCCGCAGAGGCTTTCCATGTGGACAAAGGCTTGCCCTTTCTATGGAACTTAATGAGAAAAAAAACACTTCCCCCGTGCAGCAAAACGCGTGGAAACAACGAACCGCTGCCTGACCACAGTGTTTCCCCTCAAAGGCAAAATAAGCAAGCTTAAATGGAACACACGCTTAGCAATCAAAAAGGGTGCCAAGAAACGCCCAAAACCCGATTCTAGACGAAAAGGAATCCCCTCAAAACAAAACACAGCCATTATTCGAGAGGAACCCCCCCTCAACAAGACAAACAAAACCATTCTAGACGGAAACCTCATCAAACACGGAACAACAAATATTGTAGAGGATCCCCCAATCAATCCCAATAAAAACAATGACAACGCAATTGCATGAGAGGGAACCCCAGAAGAAAAAAAAAACAACATAAAATAAGAAAGAAGAAACAAACAATGCCCCGCTTGGTGTCAAAGTGACACCTTTCGTCCACCCAACCCCCAAGCACCGGCTGAGACCAAGGCCGGCCGCGTGCTCGAAGAATTTCCGCGCTGCGGCCTGCCGGCTCGGCAACAAAGGCGAAAAAGCCCCAAGCACCGTGGGCTCGGTGTCGAGCCGAACAAAACTCAATCCAACATGGGGCCTCAAAACAGGCACCCTCCATGAAGGGCACTTGAAGCTTAGAAATCAGCGACCCTCTGATTGGTGGATTGGTGGTTTGGAGGTTAAGGAACAGCTTCCAAATCTACCCTCAAGCATGAGTTCAAAGTCCCGAACCACGAATGCAAATCAACAAGTAAGGGGAGCCTAAGTTTCCCTTTCACAAAACAGAAACTTGGGCTCTCAGTCTCTTCCAGGTGCCCAAACCAACTTGTCCTTTTGCTCTTCCCCTGATTCTTGTCCCACACCAAGAGGGTCCCATAAAACAAGCGGCCAAGAACGGGACACCGAAAGATTGCCCAAGTCGACCAGCTTTTTGAAGCGCATCTTGGCTTCCTTGAATAGGGCTCCAACTGGAGTTATTTCACCCCCCCCCCCAAAAAAAAACATCACTCAAGGAAACTCATCTGGCGCAAAAGACGATGCTCGCACCATCTGAAAAGGGACAAACAGGGATCCCTGCTTGAAACCAACCACATGGGTGAGCGAAAACAATACCCCCAAATTTGTACCAAGGTGAGTAGGTTTCAGCTAAAACCATGAGGGCACGCAACTCCATTTACTCTAGCTATAACCATGGATATCGTGGGCCCCTCTGTACTCATTAACTTGCTTCTGCTCATTAACGCAGAACTGGTTCTGGGGGATCTCCTCACAGGAAGTAACAAGGGCTGTTCATAGGTGTCATGTCCTCTCAGTTTCTGTTAAGATCCAAGGCCGAAAGCGGATTCATCGACCTGACAGATTGCGAGTAAGTGCTCCCCCCACCCCGCTTGTTGCGTTTCTTTATACATGTAATCCCCCCGAAACATGTGTATATACATATATATATATATATGAACAAGGGAAATACACCAACAAAGCAACAGCAAGGAACAAGGTGCCATCAGTGAAACATTACCCTTTGTGCCTTCAATGGTGACTGGTGACTGGTGGTTTGCCCATCTGGGGTTCAAAAAGACAAGGGGTCCAATCTACGAACCCATCCAAACCGCAGATCAAAGGCAAGCTGAACAGAAGCCGTTCTAGGTTTTCAGAACAAGACAAGCGGGGTGACAGTGAACAATTGTGTGACTGCTCACGACTTGGACGTACTCATCAAGTAAGCTCGAGGGGAAAAAAAAACGAACTTTCACCTGAACCACTAGGGTAATTACGGCGACAGTGCTGCCAGAAAAAACCACTCTAGCAATTAGGCTATAACAACACCTGGTTGCCTATACTTGGCCCAACCTCAGGGTCACCAAATAACATGTTGAGTTGTTGGTCCATACATTGCTTGGTTGACGCTGAAAAGGGGAGCAACAATTTAAATTTTAGCAGTCAAGTGGGGATTCCCACTAAACCACAATAAGCAAAAATGTAAAATGTTTCCCAACAACAACCATGATTGGGACTCGCAGCATTTCGTCAACCCGGACAAACAGACATATTAATACTTGCTGAGACCTCGTGTGGCGCCTGGAAGCATATGAATCACGGAAAACCATTTCCAGCCGCCTCACCCCCCGACAGGCCCAAGTTGATGGCGCTCTGCACCAGCTCCTGCGTTGAAAGCAAGCGGAAAAGCTCGGTCCGCATTTGGTTGGTTGGTTGGTTGGTTGGTTGGTTGGTTGGTTGGTTGGTTGGTTGGTTGGCTGGTTGGTTGGCTGGTTGGTTGGTTGGTTGGTTGCGCGGGGGAAGTCCAACTTCCCTTGGGATCACAGAAAGTGGCTCTTCGTTGTCCATGGGACCCGCCCAAAAGGAAAAGGTGTTTTCTTGTTTCTCCCCCCAATCACAAACCAGCCAAGAGGCAACACCCTCAAAATTTAAAATATGCTTCGAAGGAGATTTACGTTCCAATTCTGGCTCCAATCGGGCTCAAATTGGCCCTGGATCTGAGAATTCACGAGTGACTCCTCTGTGGACTGCTTGGAATCAACAAGACACAAAACAAGAACCCGTTACCTACAAAACACGCCACCCTAGGAGCAAGGTGCCGGTTTTTAGCGCCTCGTGCTCCATTGAACCGCGCGACAGAAATCATGTGCAAGGCATCCAAAGACTCGCGAAAGCCAGGGCAATGATTGTCATCCGCCAAAAGAATTCGGAGTCCGTCAACATCGAAGGGCCGCATCCCGCGGACGCTGTGCCCCCAAAATTTGGTTCTGGGACCGTGAACTAGCCGCCAGCCAACCAACCAACCACATGAGCACTAAATCACTTACAGCCACACGACGCTTGCCACAAATGCCAAGCGACTTTCCTCCGAACAGTATCCTAGCAGTACGGCCTATGAAGAGCCCCGTGACATAAGACATGTTGCCCGAGTTTGACCCCGACAATGTGTTGGCTTATCTTGGCATGTTCCACCCTCCAACCATCGAGGACCATGTGAAGGTTTCCAAGAAATGGGAAATGGTCATTGTTTTACCACTGCTTCTGTTTCGCAATTTGCTAGAAGTGGGGTCCTCCCGCAGCATGGGTTTCCTGCAAACGTTGGCCCACGGCGAAAGACCATCGGTCCACAACGCCACCGGATGAAACTGACTGCGGGCGGGGCCCGGACGCGCCTCCAAAGTCACGCACTGGCTGAAGTCAGGGTCTAGCTCTGTCCTGTCAATGGGGACCTAGTGTAAACGTCTAAGTGCTTGGTTGATAGGCTAGGCTTCTATGAACGGGCGTCAATCGAATCTCCATGACACGCGGCGAAACCGTCTATTGCCATGACGAGGAAAGCTCTTGGGCAGTGCCCAAGTGCACACCAGGGCCCCCTAAGACTCAGTTCCATTTACATCGGCCTTCCGGTATCTTTGACACGCCTTTTCGGACTGTCGCAGCTGTCTGTCACATCTGTGCGCAGGCTCTGTCGCAGGCGGGCTGGTTGTGGCGCTCGGATGTTGACCACTTACAGTCTATCAATCCTAAATCTGTCGGGTGGGGAACACACGCAAACAAACAAACGTTTGCGCTATTTATATACAACAAATTACCAACGTGACTTCGGAGATGCTTATGTAAGGGACCTGGATGATGGGTGTTCCCACCCCACCTGGGGTGAGCTCGCTATAGCTGGTGCAGAACACAAGCCTGTCCCAGTAGCCCCCAACCCCCCCTTCATAGCCAGGGGGTTGAAGTTGCCAAAGAAAAGCAACACAACAACATGGAAATTATTGTTGACATGCTAATGAAATACATCTTTCTGGTTTTGTTTCAAACAACAAAGCAAATATTTATTTATACATACAAGCACCCAGTGCCAAACACCTTGTGTTTTTCCTATCGCCTGGTCTTGTTGTCAACACAAACACAATTGAACAACGTCCAAGTGGGTGGGTATTCTTTGAGGGTACCCTGTTTGAGGTTGCAAAGCAAAAACAGCCCATCTTGGGTCTGGTGTGTTTCCCCTTGTCAACAACGGTTGGCCCAGAAAAAAGGATACAGCCTTCACATCGGTGGTGTTCCATTCGCAAAAAGATTTGCATCCTTGACCCACAAACCCGTGGTTGATTTTAAGAGGATCCACCCACCCCCCTCCCTCCCCCCTCCCCTCCACACTCCCCTTCTCTCCTCCAGCCACGCAATAGGCTGCCGCCACCGCGGTCCAGAAGCCTCGATCGACCGAAAACCCAACCATGTCTCCTGCGGATTTTAGCATTTTCAACCACTCACTGGCTGAGTGGATGGCCCAAAAAAAGTTCAAACTTTATATTTACCACCAAAACGGTCTTCCCCAAAAAATTAAAGTGCATGAACTCAGGAAGTGAGTCGACCACCCCTTTGCTGCCCGGTGAATCGAACTTCAACATGTTCCAGTATGACTCTAAACGGCTTGCTTTGTCTGTAACAGAGGTCCCTTTAGTTCACCAGTTGGTGGTCTTGGACATTCTAAACCTGACCAGCATGTGCTTGCAGTAGACGTGAAGCGAGCGCTTCTCTGCCTCTACTTGTGAGATTGAGTTGTGCTTGCGCGTTCTGCCTGTGAAGCAGGTGCATGTAGCTTAGACTCCTTTACGCTTACAACCAAGGGCAAATCCCTTTTGGTTGATTGGCGTAAAGTAATGCCTTGCCAACCTAGCTGCACTTCCCTCGTTTTCTGTGATCCTTCCTTTCAGCAGAAGTTCATTTCCTTCATGTTGTGTACCTAAGCTGTTCGCCCGCCTGAGCTGGGGGCATGAAACGAATTGCCTTTTTTGGGTCCCGGTTTCTTCTCAAAATGCTGCGCCACCAACGCATATGTAACAAATTGTTATAGCTTCTAGACATCTGAAAGTAAAACAATTGCAGGCTCCCTATATTTCCCCTTTAAACAACACCCAAAGATCACCTGTAACAACCCGGCTGCCAATCCAGTGCCTGGGAGCCCGGGCAATCGACGCAGCTGACCCTTGGTCTTTCCAATCTTCGGGCTCAAATTGCCTGCGCTTCGGGGCTTCGGTTGTTCGGAGTCGCAAAGGGCCGACTCGCGGTGCCTTTGGCTCCTGAAGCCCCAAAAAAATCGGAACTCGGGAACGACGAACATATGGCTGTGGCTCAGAAAACCAGAATTCCGAAATGGAACCCTGGTAAGTGGAAACATGGACCAAAACCTGCGTAACCCCTCCTGTTTAATTTTGAGCCACACCCATATCGATGTAGTTGTCTCTTTTGGGGTATGACGATCTTCTCATGTGGAGAAACAGGATGGGGACTAATTGAGGATGGGCTGGAATCTGACATCCCCAATTCGCGGAATGGGACCCCTCAGGACCTTCCAGCCCCTCAATTTCCCGGAGAACTTCTTCCCGGACCACTGGGCCTCAAAAGGGAGCAGAAGGATCCGAATCCATACTCCCTATCTCGCTTCCTGAGTTGACTGGCCAAAAAAGGTCCAAACTTTTTGTTTACCACCAAAATGGTCTTCCCAAAAAGTATAAAGTCCATGAACTCAGGGAGTGAGCTATCGGGAAGCCACTCCAACCGGGTTGCCCAATCCTTGCGTAAGGATCTGGACGATCTGGTTGAACAGCCCAGCCGGATGGGCAAGAAAGGGCTTGGCCAAGGAGTTCCTGGATTTTCTCTTTTTCAGCCGGGCCAAAGCTTCAAAAACCCCGGGCGGGGGCGGCCTGTTTTTGGAGTTAACCCCTATGTTGTGGCGTTTGAAAGGGACGCCGAAACAAAACACCACCTTTTTTGGGGTCCACCCAGGCGACGCTGCTATTTCCGTTCTTTGATTGCCAAACTTGAAGTTGATGCCAAAGCCAGGTGCCTTTGCATGGCAATGTTACTGCTGTCTACTTCAGTTGTTGAATACGCCCCCTGAAACAAACAACAAACACCAGTTTTTCAGTAGGGATAGACGGATAGATTCCCCTTAAAACCAACCAGACATTCTTAAGCAAATGGGCTGAATTGGCATCACTGGGCAGCAAGGCGCCAAGATCGCCAAGATTCCGTCGACAGCCCATTGTGGAACATGCCCCGTCTCTGTGATACCAAGTGGATCTCCATCCGCAGAATGCCGTATGACTACTCTATTGAATGAGGGAACCTTGCGCGACGGAAAGTCTTAAGTCTTAGGCCAGGCCCACTTCCCCCCTCCTCATCTCCGCGGAACTTGCTGCTCCAAAGCAAAGGCGCTTGTAAATCAACCCCCCGTTTTCGGACCCTTTTGTGCTGCCTAACTCAGGAAGGGTCCCTTATCATGCTACTGGCCCAATCGTCGCCTTCTGTCTGCACAACCGGCATGCCATTGCCAGTCCAACCCCGCGCGCGATACAGCTGTTTCCCCCCCCCAGGCCCGTTCAAAGCACTGACAAGGAGAGGGGGGTATGATGGGGTGTGCCAGTATGAGGGCTCCACTGGAGGTTGTGAATCATCGCGACCTTTGCCACCAAGGGCGAATGTTCTTGCTAGGCGCCCGAACCTGGCGAGGTTCCTTTGGGTGACCACTTCCATTGGGTCCCTTCGTGCGCCTTCGGCTTCTGCCGAGCTGAAGCCACGAGCAAAAACAAAAACGGCACGCGCGAAGATCCCCGGCCAAGTTCTCAGATTCTCAGTTGCCCAACGAACCTGGAAATTCATGGTCAACCTTGTGGGGCAATGACCAAAGGCTGACCAACATGGGAAAACCGAAAGGTCAAAAGGTGAAGTGAGATCATCTAAAAAGGAAACAACGGCCAGTGTGCGTGTTGCATAATTACTTTAAGTCATCACGATGCGAGACAAAGGTCGAGGGCTGCACAAAGCATGCTAGTGCCAGAATATAGCTGTCCGTTTGAGTACGCACTTGGAATATCTTTACAAAGCAGAAAGAACATGGCTTGTGTATGCTTTCAATGACGTACCACAGCAGAATGCTAGGCGCAACAACAACTGCCACATGACTGAATCCTACGTCAGTCACCTCTGTGCCAGCCCTGCATGACGAGTTAACATGTACCGGGCCTTGTAGAGTGATATCCTCAAAATGGATCTAAATGGCTGTCCAAAAGGAAACCACCCCCAGAGCAATTTTCATAAGCCCTCAACATGCTCAGATTGACGTACCCAAATGTAGCACATTGCATTCCGTAAATATTCACAAACTACAGCACATATACTTGCTATAACTCATTCCACACACGCGATGGAATGAAACGACGGCAACTTGCAAAAGAACAAACGGCACAAAATACCAACGCGCTAGACACGCACTCTGGCCAACAACTACAAATCATGCCAAACAGTAACCCAACATAACCTAACATGGTGCCAATCAGATTAATGCCCAAATGAACAGATTCAAGCAACGAGTCGTAGAAATCCGGTGATACAATCCAACCAATCGCCCTATCTCTGCGCTTACAGCCACAAACAATAGTCGCCCCTGAATGGTGGATGGTGAATTGGGAAGTGCCTCCCCACGTCCACACACAATAAACAATGCCAATCTTAGCCCCACACTTTTACTGATTCAACATAGGGGTGAGGGGTCAATTCACCATTTCTCGTCCTTCCCGTGAGCCAAGACCCGGGAAAAAAACAGTTGTACATTATATATATAGGCACATTCAATCCACGGCAAGTCAGTCATCTACCTCCCGCCAAATCAGCCAAGGACAAAATGCCTGTTGCTCACATTCAGCCCTGGGGTGACAGCCCTGCTGGTCGCGTCATACACGAAGATGAAGCCTCGGGTGAAGACGAAGCATCCATCCAAGTGGTATCCGAAGTACAGACCCTCAAAGGAAACCGAACGGTTCAGCCGAACCCCCCAACAAATTGAGACATACCCAAAGAGCCATGAAACAAATAGGTCATCACACCATGAGGGGCCTGGTGATTTTCAAGGTTCACCCTTCTTGATTCCATGGCGCCTGCCAGCTTTTCTCAATGAAAAGCTGTGGTTTTAGAATTCCCCCAAACAAATGTTTTTTTCACAGAAAACACCCTTCATTTGACATCATCTTCATTTGGGCTCCATTTGGGTTGTGCACTGCAGGCATTGGGCAAATCAGATCACACCACGTCTGGGGCCCTGATTTTTGCAGCTGCACATCTTCGCAAGCTGGTTGGTGGGCATCTACTTGACGCTCTTAGCCTCACCTACATACGTAGCAGCCGCCAAAGGCAAAGGCAGCGCCCGGCGAGAACACGAGACAGAAGAGATCCACGAAGACCACAGAACGTGCTGATCATCACACAGCGCACGAAAGTCAATTGGAGAACGGTCAGGCAACGCAGAAGCAGCAATCCCAAAATCCAAAACTGGATCTGACACCGAAACAGCAGCAAAGACATCAATGTGCTGATAAAGGAAAAAAGGGTACGCGCGCCAAGCAGACAATAGAGCCGGTGGCAGCGGTACTTTAGCAATGTGCAAAAGCAACACCAAAGACAAGCAAAGAGACACCGCGCGAGGATTGTACATTGCTGAACACTCCCTGAGTGCCAGCGATGCAACCGGAAACCTCTTTGACAACACGACAAAAAAGCCGACATGAGGCTGAGATGCAAGAGTTTATTCTCATGCGGCGCAGTGAACACGTGTGCTCCACACGCTGAAAAGAGCCGACATGAGGCTGAGATGCATGAGTCTATTCTCATGCGGCGCAGTGAACGCGTGTGCTTATTACCCCACCGCGGCGTGGAACGACAGAAAAACAGCTGAAACGCCGCGAAACGACCAGGCGTCCTGTGGCGGCACTAGCAGCACATACGTACCCTCTGTATGTTTAAACGGTGGTTTAAAGGCAAGCCACCCCCAGCTCGCTTTCAGGGACACAGTAGTTAAACCATGTACCCCTGGCATCCTGGATAGGTACTCTCTATCTACTATCAGTAGCTGATATCATCGTTCTATGTCTGAATCAAGCCCATACCCGCTATATAGAGAGAATATTACACATTCTGTCCGCCACGGCTCTTTGTAAGGTACGGGCCCCTCGAAACTCTGCCATGTGCGCATGTGTTTGCTTGTGCTTGAGGATAGCCTTTTGCTTTGGATTCAAGGGAAATCAACATCTAAGCCGCCCATTGTAGGTTCATCCTACTTTGACAAGTACCCGTGTACTTGGACCCTCTAGAAGCCCAAAGGCTGGGAAAGTGGCGGAGTTTCCTGTGTTACACCCTCCCACTAACATGGAAAAGCGAAGGAAGGCCCCTTGGGACTCCGGACAGAGTGGGTCCCCTTTTAAACAATGGGTAATCGATTCAGCTTTCTTTGGAGGGTGTAGATGGCAGAGATTCATCCGAAGTCGCCGATTATTATTTTTTGGGAGGGGAGCTACCTCATTCTGCCTGGCTGCCAATGCTTGTTTTCCTGTGTCCGAAAGCCGAACTCGGTTGC